TAACTATTTAAATGTAATAAAAAAAAATTTTTTATGCTACAAATAACTTTTATCGTTGATCTTTTTTAATGTATTTATTTTAAAAACTTTAAAAATTTTAAAAAACTTTAAATAAAATCAAAATTTTTAAAAGCTGTAAACAAAATCAAAAATTATAATTTAAAATAATCGCATTGTATAAATTAAATGTTATATTTTATTTTTTTAGTTGGTTTGTATTTTTTATGATAAATTTAAACATTTAAAACTATTTTTAAAATAGTTTCAAACATTTAAATTTATCTTAAAAAATCTTTCTAAAAATCTTTTAGTAAAAGATTATTATTTTGAAGTCAATTTAAATTATGAATAAGTTAATTAAATAATTGCTTTAAAAGATTGCTTTTTTTTTTAGTTATTATTTTTACAAAGAATTGTTTAATAGTTTTTTTTTTTAAGTGACTTTTAATCAAAGTATGAATGAGTTAAAAATTACAACTTTAAAAAGACAACGTTGTTTTTTTAAACAATTTTTTTTTTTGCAACGTTTTGAAAAAAATGTTTAAACAATTTAAAAATATTATATATATTTATTTTCAATAATTTAATTTCACTTTTCAATAATTTAATTAAAATTTATTTTTTTATTTAACAATCAATAGAAGTAGTTTGTAAAAGCGTTTTGCATAACTTTAATAAAACATTTTAAAATATAAGTTTTGAAATAATTTGTTTCAAATGCAATTAAAAACATAACAAAAAGTAATTTTAAATATGAGATTTATTTTAAAGCTTTTTATTTTTTTAAATTTACTTTTTTATAGATATATTTAAGTATTTATTTTGTATAATTTAATTCCCTTCGGTCAAAATATCCGATAATTTTGTAAATTGATTGGACAATTTGAGGTTTTTAGCCATATATATATATATATATATATATATATATATATATATATATATATATATATATATATATATATATATATATATATATATATATATATATATACATATATATATATATATATATATATATATATATATATATATATATATATATATATATATATATATATATATATATATATATATATATATATATATATATATATATATATGTATATATATATATACATATATATATATATATATACATATATATATATATATATATATATATATATATATATATATATATATATATATATATATATATATATATATATATATATATATATTTATTTATATATATATATATATATTGCTAATATGAGCAAACTTAAAGATTTCTTAAGCAGTGAATTTAAAATTGCTTTGTATTTTTTGAATCGACTTTATGTTGTGATAACAGGAATCAGTACAATTAGCGTAAATTTATATTCAGTAATTAGCGCCTATCATCTAATTAAAACGCTGTTAAATTTTTTTGGGTTGTTAAAATAATATCATCTCGCATGGATAAATCTGTGACGCATCATCTTGCATGGATAAATCTGTGACGCAAAACTTTGCTGATAAAATAATGAAATTAATTTTTTCATAAAGAAAAATTTGTTAGCTAAAAATCCAATTCATTTTTGTTTGAAAAACAATGCATAGAAATATTTAGTTTTGACTTTATTTAATTTTTGTGTCATTTTTGTGTAATACGAGCTCAAATTACCCAGTGTTTTTCATTGAAATTACCTAGTAAAAGTCCTAAAATTCCAATTTTTGCTTAAGGTGCTAATTAGGGCGGGTCAAAACCAGACTTTTTTAAAAATTTTTCCAAGCAGCACTATGTGGAGTTTTTGAATTGATATAATAAACTATGTAGACTGTTTTTCTTTACACAAACCTCTAGGGGTTGCACCACACACCCTAGATTTAAAAAAAAAGCAATGATTCCTACAAAAAGAGATGTGAAATATTGTAGAAGATGTTGTGAAATATGTTCGTAGAAATGAAGATGCTAAAGGCAAAGGATCAAGTTCTGCTCATAAATGTTACAGATTAGTTACCATTGAAATTGAAAATATTTGGCGTAAATTTAATTTTCCAACAATTGAAACAGAGGTAGTATTCTCAAAAGTTTAATGAAAAAAGCACTTTATTTAAATAAAACTTAAAGACTTAAAAGAAAGACTAACTTTTATGACAAATTAAAAGTTTTTGACAACATTTTTGATATATGTTCATGCAATTGTTATGATTTCGGAGTAGAAAGAGAAAAATGCAGATGTCCTTTTAAAGTTCCAATAAAAGAGTGGGATGCACTTGTTGGGCAAAAGAAAAGCAACAAATCAACTTGGGCTACTTGATCCATAGATGTGCCTACACATCTATTTTAAAAAAAAACTGAAACTTTGTAAAAAAATTTGTAACAAGGCAAAAACAGTCAAATACACATAAAAATGTTGGGAAAGACATTGATAGACTAATTCTCATGACAATTTTTATGAATCTGAGAATAATATCATATTAGATGAACCTAAAAATGAATATGACAAGCTATATGAATCTGATGTCTTAAAAAATG